CAAATGTCACGTGAATGGCGGAGACCGACTGGGTAAGCAAATCGAGCGCGCCTTAGACCTTAGAGAAGGCGCGCTCGATTTGCTTACCCAGTTGTCCAGGAATGATATTAATACTATTAATAAGTATTTCATGCGCACGTTAAACTTATTGCGTGGCCACGAAATACTACTTCGTGGCCACAATTAAAACATTTTTTTGACCATGTCATCAGAGGGGCTCCGTAATATACAGCAAACAGAATGTTTTTTTCTTTTATAAACCAGAACTTGATTAGGCTCCCTACTAATATGGCTGAGTGTTCATTCCAGCTGCAAAGAAGCTAATCCATTTAGCATTATTCTGGAAGGATATTTGACCACTTAATACATACAATCTGCTTGATTTCCTACAACTAAAGTATATTTTAAACAAAGTCCATAAATGTTTCTGCAGATTAATCTATATCGATTTGCTTTTTTTGTTTCCTGGAAGTTGATCAATTTAAAAAGCAGTTTGGGGTTAATTCTGTCTATTTTAATTTAATTCAATTTTCAATTATCCCAATATCTGCAGGCGACAAATCAGAAACACTACCAGCAAGAGACCCTCAGCATTATGTTGCCATCACCGTGCTTTTGAATATATATTTATTGTAATTAGCTTTAAGCTAATAAGAGTTCTGTTATTAAACCTCTACAATAACAGAACTGTAGAGGTTCTGTTATTAGCCTGAACAGAACCCCTAGAAAAATGTTTATTTAAAACTGTTTGTCCAAAAGGTTTTTCTGTGAGGAGGTTCAATTGTTCAGGCAGTCGCTGCAAACTTCAGGTTAAAAGGAGACCATTTTGGTGGAGGGCCTCCTTTCTTCCTCAGCCCACCATTAGTCCAGGATGATGTTTAATTCATTTCAGCATATTTTATTCTCATCTTCCAGTTTATTTCAGGCTTGAGCTGCAGTGCTGTATTGGATCATTGGTCAGAAACTTTGCTCCATCAGGGCTTTGATCCCAAACAGACGTCATATTAGGGATGTATGGAGGCTAACACGACGCTTTGACAACAGCCGGGACTAAAATCAGCAGTTTGTTCATTGTTTTATAGCAAAGGTCAGTGACCTTTAGGACCCATTCTGCCTGTGCTCTGGGTATTAACCCTGTAATGCCAAATGTATCATATTTGATACATACGGTTTCTGAAATGTTTTGCGTCTGACACCTTTTGCATAATTTAATGGTAAAAACTTTGCTCAAAATCCTGTTGTACACAATCAGATATACCTGATAACAGAGGGCAGAAGACTGCACAAAAAATAATCTTGACTTATCGCATAGTAATAAATTATTAATATCAAACATTTATTTCTGTTTTTTCTTTTTACATATTTTGTTAAAAAGGCAAATAAGGACTTTAAACCAAAAAAAAGTAATTTTCTGTTTTGTTTTATTCTTGGATCAGGCTTTAAAGAGTTAAAAGCTGCGCGAGTTTTTGAAATAAAAACAAACTTTGTGACATTTTCTTTAATTTTTAGTATTTAGAAAATTGTCGCCTTGTTTTTTAGGTTTAAAAAGACAGAAAATGATTAAATGTGTACATCTCAGGCGATTAAAACATTTTCATTACTGGAGCTTTTGAAATGGATCTTAAAAAAGCTCTTTTCTACGAGCACTAAAATAGCTACTCCTTAAATTATTACTGCAAAAACACCTTCATAATGTTGACAAATGTTACTAAGGTCCAAAAAGCCACTTGTGTCTCCAGAGCTGCAGGTTGAAGACCCCTAAGTTATCTTTTTTTTCATTTCTGGTATAAAATAACTTAATTTCTGTTCAACTGCATCCCTAAAAGCCCAAAACTCATTTCACATCCATACAGATGAAGAGTGGATGAAGACTTCTGACCAAAACTGTATCTTTGATCATTAATAAGGAGAAGAATTCTTGTTTGTATGAAAAAAAACTGTGTTTATTATGGAAAAATGGCAATAATAGGTCAGAGAATAACAGTGTTGTTACTCTAAAGGCTTTATGCAGGAAACAGAAGTTTCTGGAAAGCTTGTTTTCTACTCAGACGTGAAGAAGAGGAAGAGGAATGAGGTGAAAAGTTTCCTGTCTAAGTGCAGAGACTAAAACACTGGCTGTAGAGCCAGTATAATGGCTTTCTAATTTAAATGTAAATATGAAGCATTAAGCTAATAAACCTAAATGAATTATCTTTGGTCTGATCCCGTTGATATCTAATCCCTACAACAATTCAAACAAGGTTTAATCTAAAAATAATCTAAATCTGCATTTTATGTGCCATAGTTTGGGTTTCCTCGTGAATCCGGTGGCTTTGCCCCCCCCCCAGCTGTGTCGGCAGAAACATCAGGCGCCCCCCCGCTTGGAAAGCTTTCAGGTGACGTCTTCACAAACTGCACAGAACACAGCTGTGGGGAACAAGAACCCCCGACCCCCGACGCAGCAGTCCGATAGAAACGCAAAGCCATAAAAAACTCTGCAGTGCTGCATATCCGCTGTTAAAAAGGAGCTGCGAGGTTTAAATATCATCACAGGTTTACAGGTTTTTGTTCTTTCACTGAGCAAGCAAACGATAATACCGACATCCGTAGAAAAATGTCTTTTTTAACCACAAAAAATGTAGAAATAAATATGAGCAACGAGGACAAAAGAAGAAAAATGACAGATTCTCCACCGCAGACGAGGCTAAAAACCTTCTCTAAACGCCTTACAGGTTCCCCTTTACAAGCAGAGTGACACATTTTACTGAGTCATGATTTCCTTGGCCTTCTCCAGCCCCTCCTTCAGGAATTTGATGTACGTGGACGTAGAGGGGTCCTCAAACCCCCCAGAGAAGCTGAAGGTGGCCCCTTCATCCTCTGGTTTCACCGCCGTCTGGTCCAGGAAGTAGTTAGCATTGATGTGGTGGACCTGAGGGACACAGATGAGAGGCATTTCCCTTCAGCTATGCAGCCAAACACTCAGCAGGAAAGATTCCTGATGACGTTACTCGGTACAATTATTTCAAACATAAATACACTCAGGGAAGTCTGCTAAAACTACTACGGAAGAGGATTAGGGCCACTGAAAAAAAAAAAAAGTAAACTGATTTTTAAATTTTGTTTCAGTTTAACAAAAAGTCAGAATTCTGACTTTTTTCTCAGAAATCTGACTTTAATCTCCGAATTCTGACTGAATTCTGACAATAATAAAAGTCAGAATTCTGAGATTAAAGGCAGAATTCTGACTTTTTTCCCATACTATACTGAAATAAAATAAAATAAATCAGTTAACTTTTCCTTTTTTTTTTTTCCAGTGGCCCTAATCCTCTTCCGTAAACTACAAGGCCTAAAATGGCTCAAACTGTGTTTATTAAAAGTTGTATTTACAACTGTTCCATTGGGCAGCGCCACCAGCATCTCCACAGGGAAGCTGTACTTCTCCAGATGTAGGCGGGCCTTTTCCCTCAGTGCAGCGTTCCGCTCGTCAGCCTGGAACAGGTTTTAAGACAGAAACAGAACAGTTGTGTTGCCGCACAGCGGTTTACTGGTTTCGCTGGTTTCCAGTTGCTCTGCGCCGCTTACCTGCATGGTCTCCAGCTCTTTGACCAGAGACCAGCTGCTGATGAAGCTCTGGTTGAGCAGAGTGAGAACGGGCGAACTTTCCAGGACCGTTTCCCGGAGAGTCCGCCCCGAACCTGCAGGTGATTCAAGAGCAGCAAAACATAAAAATAAATACGTAACTGATCTGCTGAGATCAAAGAGCCAAAACTAGATGTTTTTCTTTAGTCTCGGTGTTTCCATCATTTAGGTGGATAAGTTATGGGTAAGTTATCTGATCATTGACATACATTAAGTTTAAGTTACTCATAAGTCGCGGCGTCTAGCTTATCCAGAACTTATTAAGAACTTATCTCCAACGCATATCAATGTGTTTGATGCAGGGTTCCTTCAGCATAAGGCAAGTTAAATTCAAGACTTTTTAAGACTTTTTAATGCCACTTGAAATAAAAATTGAAGACCAGATTCACAAGAAACACAAGAAAAACCTGCTTGCAACAACTTAACCCAAAGGTTTATTTTAACATAAACCACTGCACTAATGTTTCAAATGTTGAAAAGCTTCCCATACAGGAAGAAAGCTAAAAACACACAAATGACAGATATATTTGAACAATTATTTAACTGAATTCACAAACTTTGTTTTAGCAGGGAACAAAACTAATCAGTTTTAAAGGCCCAACATAATCAGTGCTAAGTCTTTTTAGCAGCTATTTTTCTTTGTATGGTTTTCTTAGTATGTTTGATTTGGTGATAAGTGGAGGCGTTGCAGAGACAAGGGTGGAACTAAACTGAGAAATACCGGCTGTTTCTCTCTAACTCCATTTTGACGCTTTGTGTTTCGTGCTTCGCATGTGCGACTCCACTGCCTTAATTCCCATCGTTCTGAGCTTGAATGACTTCTTGCATAAATCCACTGAGCCTCATGTATGTTCCCTGGTTTTAGCCATGGAGAAAACTCTTGGCTGGAGACAATTTTGGTTCCATTTACACTTGCTCAGATTTTGCAGACAAAAAGTTAATGGTGCATCTCCCAAATGTCCCGGCCGCAACAACGCTTTATTGGTTCCGCTATCGGGACGGAAACAATAATGGCGAGCAGTTATTTATTTTATATTTAAAAAAAAAAAAATTCCAATTTTAATGTTTTATTTAGATTACAAATATAAATCATAATAAAAATTATCCTATTTAGGATGCTTTAAAAATTAAGACCTAGGAAAGACTGATTTAAGACATTTTAATACCAATTAAGGCCTTAGTGTTTCTACCTTCCAGCTACTGTATAATGGCGTATTGGCAGCGTTTTGGTATAAAGGGGGTTTACAGGAGGAAACGCCAGTTCTCCTCCAGACGTCATCCCCATCATGGGGTCAGCGAGAAGGTGAGTGTGAAGGATCCTCCCTGCGTTTAATTCAATTCAGTTTATTTATGTTGCGCCAATTTACAGCACGTCATCTAAAAGCACTTTACAGTTCACCAGATCAGTTTTCTATCTAAGGAAAACCAGTCGATTGCATCGACTCTTTGACTTGAATGCAATCCCTCGCCCTAAGCATGCTTAGGGCGAGGGATTGCACATGTTCAGCAGACATGATGCTGAATCTGCTGTGACTGCAAACCTTGTTTCTTTTCATTCTTTTTTTGTGGCAGGCGGTTACGGAAGAGGATTAGGGCCACTGGAAAAAAAAAAAAAGTTAACTGATTTTTAAATTTAATTTCAGTTTAACATGGGAAAAAAGTCAGAATTCTGACTTTTTTTCTCAGAATTCTGACTGAATTCTGACAATAAAAAAGTCAGAATTCTGAGATTAAAGTCAGAATTCTGAGAAAAAGTCAGAATTCTGAGAAAAAGTCAGAATTCTGAGAAAAAAGTCAGAATTCTGACTTTAATCTCAGAATTCTGAGAAAAAAGTCAGAATTCTGACTTTAATCTCAGAATTCTGACTGAATTCTGATAATAAAAAAAGTCAGAATTCTGACTGAATTCTGAGAAAAAAGTCAGAATTTTGAGAAAAAAGTCAGAATTCTGACTTTTTCCCATACTATACTGAAATAAAATAAAAAAATTAGTTAACTTTTTTTTTCTCAGTGGCCCAAATCCTCTTCCCTAGGCGGTAAACCGCGATCAAAGACATATTTTTATGCCGGCCGGGCGCTTCTCGGGACATCGCCGCTCCCCTCAGGACTCTGGCTTGTGACATTTCATGGGCATTACGCTGCTGTGCGTTATGCACAAGTTAGGCTGCGGTTGGACATACGCTCTGGACTCGTTATGAATACGCTAAGTATACACCCAAAAATAAAAATAAAAATACATAGAAAGTTCAGCATATGCCAGCGTTTTAGGAGATTCTGGGACATCGGGCAAACGCTGTCTGAATCAGCAAGATGTAACATAAAAAAATCCTGAAGAAGACGGGAATACGACTCCTTCACTGGGATTTAAAGCAGTGGTTGCCTTAGCTTCCATTACAAATGTGCTCAAAACTATGTTGATAAGCTGCTCATTTCACAATTTTGCAATTGCAGTTTTTCTTTTAAATAATAAACAAAATTGAGATTTCATGTGAATAAATTTGTTCACACCATAATTCTGAAAACAACATGGCTGCACACACTCGTCACGCTCTTCATCGGAAATTAGATGTAAAAAATACTTGGTGTTCTTATGAATCCCAAAGCGCTGCGCCATCAGCCGCCAGCTAACTCTGGTCCTCATCTTTTTACGAAGCATTTAAGTCCAGCCGGTGATCACATTACTCGTTCAAACTGCACCGTTTCCATTTAGCAAATGTATTTTTCGTAATTACAATTTGCGCAATTTGATGATTAATGGAAACGTAGCTAATGCCAGTTATTAGAGAAGTTCCAGTGCGGTTGTTGATGCGAGGCGTCGAAGAACGACTCAACCAGCCGACACATTTAGGTGCTCAAAGGATCCAGTCCTGGAAAATGAGGCCCCTGGTTCACTAGCTCACCTCAGCAGGACTGATCGTCCAAAGCTCCCCAGAGCAGAATGGAATGCACCAGCTTCTTCTCCGCTGCGGCTCGCTCAAAAGCCTCAGCAAAAGGCAAGTAGGACACCTGCAAAGACGCACCATGTCAACAACAAGCTACAGCCGTCCTCCTCTGCCCATCCGACGCCTCTCATGGATGCTGACCTTCTTGAACGGGTAGAGGGTGACCTCCAGGCGGCGGACAGCTTCCTCCTGACTGATCTCTGAGGTCCAGTGAATTTCCTCAAAGACAAACTGGATCTGGTCATTGCTTCCGTCCCGACTGTCGAGGACGTTTCCTGTCTCGTCCACGATAACAGAGGGAGTGGAGGGCGCCGTGGACCGCAGTTCCAACTACAGACACAAGAGCTTTTTTACAATCATTCCACATAGAAGTGCGCTGTGAAAAATCCCTGCATTCAGCTTTAAAGTCACATTTATGCTCAGATCTGATAGAAAGAAAAGGCAAAAAGTTAGAGCAGCTTCAGAATTCAATCTATTTGAAATCACGTTACTATGGGTGCAAGAGTCACACTAATAAAAAGAGCTGGAGGGGCTGCATTGTCTCCACATTTATTTATTTAAGGATTCCCATTAGTCTCGACGACGATAGAGACTACTCTTCCTGGGATCCATTTTCAAAAAAGAATTAAAAAATCATCACAATCTGTACATACAACAAAACTGACAGTAGAAACGACATTATTAGAAAACACAGTTAAAATAAAGAAAATAAAAGCAAAAACAAACACTATGCTCTCCCTAATCAAACAAACAGAATTTCCTAATTAATTATAGATTTCTTTAGATTTAATGTAAAACA